CCTTGAAGGAAAGTAAATGTTTAGCATAAGCCACACTGTTTGGATAAGTAGCAGGTACCATGAGCCACTCTTATTAGAGTGGTGGGAACTCTCTTAAAGTTCAGGTTCTCAGATGCCAGCCAAGGGCCCACTTTGTAAGCAGTTCTTTCAAAGTCCAGCAGTCAGGCTTGCTACATTTACTCTTTTTACACAATGGTAAAGATCATCGTGTAACAGGAGGCAGAATGAGCAGAAGTGCAGCGATTATGTTTAACGTCGGATTAGAATTCTTTATCCCCTGTGCTGGTTGTGCTGTGTGCCTTCTCAGACCTGTCCCTGAGGGCTGGTCCTCAAGTTAATAAATACCATTTAGTCATTCCAGGAAATGGTATCTTGAATAGGTAAAATAAATAAATCATAAATAAAATCAGAAAGTGAGTCAACCTTCCTCTGTTGCTCTCCTATGCCTTTTCTGAATATGTTTAAACGTATTGGAAACTATAGAACTGTCCTCTTATTATTGAAAAACATATACCAACCAGTCCTTTTGCTCAACTTAGTCCAGTTTCTGACTCTCATATGGGGGATCTTAATCTCCAGCAGTCTGGTAAAGTCTGTGGAATAGGCCTCATTCCAGAAGAGCTGCTTTAAATGCACAAAATAAAATACATAGTGTTGCAAAGGAAACATATTGTACTGAAATTCGGTTATCAAATTTTAAAACTAATTCGCAAGATAGTAATCTATGTGCTTTTTTATTAACACAATAACATTATTATCACAGCAGGTCTAATAACTATCATAATTATTAAGTACTGATGAGTGCAAACAACATTTTAGGATGTCTTCAACAAAAACATTATGCTATGAAAATATCTGTAATGTCTTTTGGTACTTCTAATAACACTGTAGTTTGTTATCAACTTTCATAATTGAAAAAAAGGCTAAATTTCACTTAGAAATTAAAGAAAATAAAGATATGATAATTTTTCTCATCCAAATTTACAGGATGCAGGTAAAAATTTCAGGCTTCTAGTATCATAAGATCAGGGGTTCTTTAAATCATTCCATTCAGTTCACAAACAGTTGACCAAGGGCAAGCAGATCTGTTTTGTTTGACTATAGTGTTTTCAAAGACAAAGTAAATTAGTTACCAAACTAATGTAATTTCACATAAAAATTCATACTTCTGGCTTCTCTGAAAAAAAATATGCAGACCAAGCAACCGTGGGCTGGTATTCCAAGGCAATGTACAAGCAGACTAGGTAGCAGCGGCCCTGCTACATATGGTGTGAACTTTCCAGTCTTCATAGCCTTACTCACGTGTGTTATCTACCCGGCTCCTGTAGCCACCTCTTTTTTTGTTTTGTTTGTTTGGATTTCGTTTTTGTGTGCAGCCACCTCTTATATATGGCATTTTCCATTTCATTATGACTCTTTTGCTGGGTGGCAAATAGTAGAGATTTGCTTTCTAACAAAGGGGAAGAATTCTATTTGCATACCTACTGTCATCCCCATCTAACTTCCAGTCCTCCACTCTCAGCTATTGACACACTAAGGCCCATAAGAAGCCACCTGTGTTAGTTAAGTTTCACTGAAGCACAACTATCCTCTTTTATTTATATACTATCTTTGGCTGCTGCTATGGACTGAATTGTGTTCCCCTAAAATCAATATGTTGAAGCCCTAATCCCCCAGTAGGATGATATTTGAAGAAAGAGTCTTGGGGAGATAATTAGGTTTAGATGAGGCCATGAGGGTCCTCATGATAAAACTAGTGCCTCTGTAAGAAGAGACCCTGGAGAAATTGCTTCCTCTCTCTCTCTCTCTCCACCATATGAGGGCACAGCAAGAAGGCAGACATTGCCAAACCAGAAATAAAAGAGCCCTTATCGGGGAACCGAATTGACCAGCGCCTTGATCCTGGACTTCGCAACCTCCAGAACTGTGAGAAATAAATTCTTGGTGAAGCCACCCAATCTATGGTGTTTTGTAATGGCAGCCCAAGTTAAGACAGCTAATATCATGCTACAATAGTGGGGTTGAGTAGTTGAGACAGAAACTATATGGCCCTCAAATTCTAAAATATCTACTATCTGGTCCTTGCCAGAAAAATTTTGCCAAACCCTGCTCTAGTTTTCGGATGAAATTACCAGTTATAGTTCTAGAAATTTTATATAGAGGGACCTAAGGATGGTTAGTGGGAGCTGTATTTGCATAACAAACGTCTTATTTCTCCTTAATGGAGATGGAGGCAAGCAGCTAAAGCATTACCAAATTCCTCCCTACTACAGCCACCGAGAACTACACACTATAAAGCCACTGTATGTGCTTATGTGGCTAGAGCTGTAATCTATGAAGCCTGAAAACTTGAGTCCCAAATCTGCTCCCCCAACTTGGAGCTAGCCCTTAATTAATGGTTATGATAGCTAGGAGATATCAACAGCATGCTAAGGACAAAGTCTTGAGTCTACGATTCACAACCAATGTTCACTGAAAGAATGCTGAAAATAGTAGCAATAAGAACAAAATATTTTCTGTTAATAGCTCAATGGGGGAATGAAGTTAAAGTAATTGAGTGAATGAGAAACTCTGTGTATTGTTGAGAGTGTGCCTGTAGGGTACTGTTGTAGGGGAAAAAAGTCAGCTATTTTGACAAACAAAAGCAACATGGTATAATCTAAAGAATATGGGTTTTAGAATCAGAAAGAGATGGACTCTGACCCGTAATTTATTTGGCAACTTGCTGTCTCACTCTCAGAACCTCAACCTCCTCATCAATGAAATGAAGATTACACTGCCTCATCTGTGGGTTGTTGATATTTAATAACATTAATTATTATATGCAAAATATGTTGAAGTGCATGGTTATAAAATAGGCTCTCAAAATGGTAGCTATTCTCATGAGTCATTTTTTTACAGTTTCTCTTCTTTATGAAAATACTTTTTTTCTGAGAATAAAGTGACACTGATTAGCAATACACCCACATTCGAGTAATTGAGACCATCTATCAATTGCAAAAGGGCAAGAAAGATTTTTTAAAAGTAAACAAACAAAAAACCTGACACATGTTATAACAAGGAACAAGGGAAGAAGCCATGTGATATAACTAGCACACCGGCACCTACAGAGGCAGGAGCTCCATTCCTGGGTCCCATTAAAAAAACAGCACGAGTTTTCTGTCTCTAACACCATCAGAGATAGACACGCTGGTATGTGTGCTCAGCTCTTATAACCAACGTGTGTGTGTGTGTGTGTGCGTGTGTGTGTGTGTGCGCGCGTGTGTAATGTGCACATGCTCAGATGTGTGAAAGAGAAAAAGAGATGATAGAGCTTTGTGATTAACTCATCTTGAAGAACCAAAATTTATTTGCCACTGGTGAGTTGTCTTAATTATCCCTCTTTGACACCTTTCATTGCAAATGTATCAGTCGGTTACTTAATATTAATTTCTTTAGGTCTGAGTTCCCTCATGTGTTTTGAAGGGAAAATAACTGTCCTTTTTTCCCCACAGGAATATTATAAACATCAGATGAGATGATGTGTAGACAACAGTGCTTTGAGGAGGACAGTGACAAATAATATCTGTCCTGAGGACTGTAAGGACAGATCTGAGTTTTGGTAAACTTGTAGTACATGGGAAGATTCTAAAACTGGCAAAATGTATGTTGGGAAGATTTAATAAGACATAAGAGTTTCAAATACCCACCAGGTAGCCTTGTAGAAGAGAAGGTAGAACACAGACCTAAGGAGACATATTTCTGTGTAATACTAGACAGGACTCCAATTTCCCTAATGAACGAGCAGGTGCCCTGTTTGGTACCCCTCTTCCAGGTTTATCATTACCTTAACTCTCAATTACTTGTACAAATAGATGTTTCACATATTTGCATTTCACATAATATTCGCACTTGGCTGTCATCTCCTTAAGCGTGGCGACTGTGTATTTAGTCCTCGTGCTCTCTACAGCTCTTTACGTTTTGTCTTGCAGGTTGTGGATGCTCAATAACTATTTGGTAACAAAATATAAACTGAAACTGCTATTCAAATATAAATCAAGTGTTGTGACACTAGTACGAATATGACTCCTGAAGTCTTATCCTCTCTTAGAGCCCTGAGTAGAGAATTATGTTGATTTGCTTACTTATGCACATTTCTTTGTTGCTGCAGTATAGATGTCAATTTGTCTCTTGGATTGATTTTTTTCTCCATGTTAACTAGCAGGAAGGTTCTATTTAAGGGGTTAGTGGAAGGGAAGGCTTGTTATTTCAAAATACTTCATCATAGACAGGTAATCATCTTAGATGAAATTCCTTAAGTGCTGTTATCCAAATATCTATTTCACTGTTGGCAATAAAAGAGCCCTCGCCAATGTCCAATGACCTATAAGTCAGAGCTAGGAGGTTTCTTTATGCAAATTAAATTTGTGCCACACTCATCAATAAAAAAGAAAACAGCAAGAAGATTAAAATTGCAGCAGCCATGCAAAGTAAAGGACTCCTAAATCTATTTATAGGATATGTCAGTATGGCTAATTATTTTTTGAGATAGTGTGTTTGAAAGAATTAATGGGGAATGAGCTTTATGAATTGACTGTTAAATGAGAGGGAGGGTGTAAAGAGAGTCAGGAATATAAAGTAGGCAACCAGTTTGATTAACCTTACTAGCTTTAAAAGATCCACATAATAAAGTAAGAGACACTGATATTAATTTTATGGCAGTATTATAAACCCCAAGAATTAACTAATTATATTATAGTACAGTTTGTTTCTCCTCAAGTCTGTTTTTCATTTTGCACTTAAATGATAAAGATTCAACTCTTTACCCATGTACTCAGGGTTTCTATCCCCTCTTTAAAAAGTAAACAAAATATAAAGAAAGGGGGAAAAAATCATGTCACTTTACATTGATGGGAATGTGCTACTACGAAATAAAATCACTTTACCACTCTTCAACTAATAGCATATAAGGTATTAACCCTCTAGATGCTAATAAGTGGAAGTGGGTCCAGACAACATACCCGTTTCCTTAGATTGCAAGTAAGAGTGAGATTCCTTGAGAACGAGTTTGCAAAAGCTGTATAAAAGTCCAGGACTTTAAGCAAGGCTTCTCGCTTGATGATGTGGAGGTCACAGTATGTCAGTGCTCGGACATTGGCACAGGCATGAGCAAGGGTGGTTTCCTTCCAGAAGATGTCTCCAAATACATCCCCTTTCCCTGGAAAACAATTAAGATATAGATATTCAAGTATCTACACTTGTTTTTATCCTACTCACGATATTTTATTCAGTTTCATATATGGTATTGATCGTCTAGTGTAACTTGGAGTCTAAGTATATAACACCATCTATATACATGTAACAATGTACAACATTTTCATATAATATGTAAAGTAACATCATCTTAAATTCAGTTCTTGAAGGAAATCTGGAGTGGCTTGAATAAATGAAATCCAACAGAGAAGCCAAGAACCTCATTTTAACAAATAGTTTCATTATCTTCTGCCACCTTAACTTTTCGCATTCTGACCAGAAGGAGCAAAGGTGACGTCTTAGGCTCATCCTTTCTTCTGCTAAAATGACAGTAAGAGGCAATATACAAGGATCTCCTGTTACAGCCTTTATAGATGTGGAACTGACTCGACATACGTTAAACATACATTATTCAGCAACTAAGTCTTGTGCTCCAGGCAAACAAAACCTCACCATCACTGATTCCCAAAGGATATCCTTCTCTTTTCACCAAGCCAAACTTTATGCAAGGCCTCAGGGCCAGGGAGAGAACTCTAGTCCATAATAATAGAGCCGAAGAGGCTAAATTGGGTAAAACATGGAAGCCCAGATTTGCTATGTCATAAACAGTTTCATAAAGGGTGCTGTACTGTAGTCAAATGTGGATGTCTTTTTAAAATTCTAGAATTCTAGAACACAGGAATCAACTATTCACTTCAGAGCAACGCCCACTGGTGACCTGAAATCAATAGTTCACCATCCTGAGTCAAGAGTACTTAGTTGCCCAAACAAAGGGAAATGAAGAAACTTCAGAGATTAAGTGCTGAAAGGCTTTTCTGCTGAGGCAATTCCATAAGTGTCCCTGGCTCCTGAAGGGCTGTCAACTGCGTTCTCTGTTCTTCTGTAGGAAAGGGAAAGTTTTAAAGAGAAAAAAGACGGGGAATATTTCTAGGTGAAAAAAAAAAAATCTTCCTAGAGCCACGCTACCAAAGATTTATTCTTTCTGTACTCTAACCACAGAGATGAGTGAATATCTGCTCTCATTATTAAGATTAAAGTCAGAACTGACAGGAAAAAGAAGAAGAAAGACTACTTGTTAACACTTCAGGCCAGTCAGACTGGAAAGAAAAGATAGTGTGTAACCAGAGAAATGAGAGAGAGGGGAAGGGAGAGAGAACAAGACAGAGACACAGAGAGAGACAGACAGAGAGGGGCTGAGGCTGAGTGAGATTACAGATTCTTTGCCCACCCCACACAGGCAGTTTGGAAATCCTTAGAGAACCATGAGGCACTCTGGTATGGAGAGAGAAAACATATATATTATTGAGGAGATGGTTAAAACCACCATGTGATCAAATGATCAGCATAAAATAACCATAATAGATATTTAATAAATCTTGAGCAGTATCATTTGTTACCTGACCCTCCCCAAATTCCTTTTAGTTCATGACACTGATGAACGACTTAAATATCTGATAGTCATATATTTGTTCAAGGAAGGATAACTGGAGACCTGAGAGCCAAATAAGGTGTCTGAGGTTATACAGCATCAAAGTAACCTAAGGGAGACTTTAACTATAGAAATTTAAAAGATAAACCCTACCTCCACTTAGATGAATTTCAGAAATCCATAAACGGCATTACCTTTAAACTAGTAATTCCAATTATAGGTATTTACTCTAATTGCATTATCAGAAGTACCAAAATGTTATAAGATGTTATAAGAATGCTTATAATGCTTATAAATGCTTATAAGAATGTTCACTTAAGTGATATTTATGATAGCCATAAAAGGTAGAAACAAGATAAATGTGAATGAAAAACATAAATAAATAAATTATGGAATATTATGCAGCCACTAAATATCATAAATTTTTAAAGTAACAGAGAAATGTTCATATTATGTAAAATAACAAAAGCAGGATTATCAAATCATACATATAGTAGTATCTCATTTTATACACCCTCTTCTCCCCAGAAACACACACATGTACACACAAAACGAATGCATCAAATAGTAGGTTTTCTCTCATTACAGGCTAATGGATGAGTTTTATTATGTCTTATAATTTACTTGTATTATTTTTTAAACAGAAGAGATCAACAGCTATTATATTTTCTTAGTCCCCCGTGCTATGGAAATAACAGGGCATTGATCTGCTTCTCATTCCTTTTCCTCTATTGTATTGCTACTCTTTCTATACTGGCTTTTACCTTGAAGAGAGAAAAATGATTACATTTCTCTCTGATTCATTTCTGAAAGCTTTTCTCAAGTTATCATTTATAATACAAGCTCTGACCCACTTATAAGTACTCATCACTTTTCAACTATTTGATTTTCATGTATACTAACCACAATAATAATTACTAGTGCCTTTGACTCAGTAATTTCACTTCTGGGAATCAATCAAAAGATTTAGAACAAACACATGTAATATTCACTGGAGTGCTATTAATCATAACTTCAGATTGGCAAAAATAAATAAATAAAATATCCAAAGAAAACAGAAATCTATATCTATATATAAATTCATATAGAATTAAAACTAGTTTCAGAAATAACATGCAGAAATGCAAATCTTATAATGTTAAATAAAAAAATAAAGATACAAAGAATGATTATGGTTATAGCTATAATAAAGTACATACAAATGAAACTGAAATTCTAAGACTAAAAGAATTTTCAATTAAAAGTCTACAATTTCTTAATTTCTTAAAGAAAAATAATCTTGATAGGACCAAAATATATTGTTTTATTATTCTATATATTATATTCTGTTATTATTAATTTGATTGATAATAAATTGTGTTAAAAATCAAAAGGGATACAAGACTAAAAGAAAATGCATAGCTATTACAGCGATTGGCTTCAAGTGATGTGCTTATTGTTTTCCTCCTTTCTACTTTTTGTTTTCTAAATTTTTCTCTAATGAATCTTTTATTAAAATAGCAATTATTTTCAGATGTTTTTCCTTATACTTTTTAATAAAACAGGTACACAGATCTGCAGAAGAGTAAATATTCATTGACTGATAAGTGTATCATCAATAGGTAAAAAATACTCAATATATACATAAATTTCCCCTTGCCAATATAGACCATTTTAAATTGTGGAGGTCTTCAAATATCTGTTATATGTTTTATTTTACCTAACTGATGAAATTAAAATTCTCACCATATTTCTATCAACAATTTTAAATTTAAGTTATTTATCTTTTCTACTATCATGGGGAAATAAAAAGTCTATGAGGCTGAAAAGTAACATAAAAAGTTAACTGACTCAACCAAAGTAAAACTTATCCTCTGCTCCTCTCCCTAAAAATGTTTAGAGAAACATAGCAAAATTAATAAATGTGAATTATTCTGCTCCAAACATCAGAACTCACATTACATATAAACAATGCTAATTGTTTTATAACATAGAATTTCCATTAGGATACACAATATATCAATTATACATTAATCTAATCAACCATTTCAAACTATTTTGCTTTATCCAGTGTTCTATATCACCTAATAGTCACTCAATTCACAACAAACGTTTAAGGCACTTGTGGAAAGATAGTTGTCTTGTAAATCAGTTAATTTATGAGCTAATGTTCTTCTTCAGGAAATATTATGCACCTTTACACTGAGTAATGTGCAGAAATTACAGCTGTGAAGACATGTGGTTATGTATGGACTATCTAACAGAGAAGCGCCCTTTTTTTTCCATCACAAGGATTTTGCACACTTTCAGGACTGGGAAATCCTGTTCATCCTCATAACTATAGAATATTTGATGCTAGTTTTTAGGTCAGTTCCCACTGGGTGCAAGTAGACTCAGCTAGAAACATTTTAGAGTTTGAGAAATGTAACCTTTCCCCAAAGCCCTAAAATTAGTAGAAAAGCTCACACTCAACATGAAAGTTGTTGTTTGGTCTATTAATATTTACTCAGTTCTTTGCATCAAGTCTTATGAAGTATTTTACTTTCAAACCACAGGAAACAGGATTGTAAAACAGAAGTAAATGTTAAAGATTCATAGAGCAAAAAACTGGAAAATTTAAAGACAAAACAGAGACAAAAAGTTACAACATAATTAAAGGAGTAATACAGATCATGGTATGCCGGTACCCTGACGTGCTGGTTTTACAGTGTTTTTATTTTAATGTGAAACACATCATTTGGTGAGTTAATGACATAGATAAAATGAATTCATAAAAATTATCTCAGTTATTCATGAGTTAGTACAGCTATCTCCCATAGCCAACGAATCCCTAAAAATATAGCGTTTGAAGTTTACTTAGGTAGTTTCCTGTGAGTGCATGTGAGGTTGTACTGATAGCTCTATTTAATGATTCTTTTACAGAATGGACTTAATTCACATTTTTACTTTTATTAGTCAGAACTTCACTATAACGATTGTTGTAGTCGGCTCATAAACTTTATTATGAATACATATGAACAAAAATATTCATTTACAAATGAACAACACTAAGAGTTTTTAAATTATGTGGTTTTAAATTGACTTGGACTATTTACGGACAACAAATGCCATAAAGTAATATTTTGAAGGATAAGAACAGAAAGAAGATGATGAGCATTAAACTTTAGAAATTATATTGGTGTGTAAGAATAGAATCTTTAAAATATTTAGAATTGGTGCCTGCCAATCTTCAGTGATTGATGTCCAAAGTCTTTCTGTTGAAAAATTATAATGGATACACCTTGACACTTTTAGAGAAGCCAATAATTCTTATCTACAAAAAAATCACTGATTTAGCTTATGAATTTTTACTTACACACACAAAGAATTAGCCAAATAGCTGTCACTAAGTGGGATAGGGAGGGTGGAAGGGAGGCTCAAGAGGGAGGGGATATGGGGATATATGTATGGCTGATTCATTTTGTTGTACAACAGAAACTAACACAGTATTGTGAAGCAATTATACTCCAATAAAGATCTATAAAAAAAAAAAGGAGATGTAAAAAAATAGAGAGTAT